ACGTGTAACAGTCTTCTACTTGCCTTTGGAGGCTAGGGGATGAAGGAGACTTCTGGGATGGAGCTCGTGCTGCCAGGCAGACTCTTGCGAGGTGACCTTTCTTGTGGCAGTTGAGACAGCTGGCGTTTCTAAATCTGCAAGACGCCTGGGAATGGGCACCCCCGCAGGTCATGCACAAAGGAATCTGTTGCGGGCCACTGCTGTTTCTCTGTCTCCCTCCTACCTGGGGCTGTCTCAGTTGCCTTAGACGATGGACATCAGCGGTTTCTGGGGGTTCAGCTTCGCTCATTACTTCCTCCGAATGGACGGTAGAAATGCCTGGCTTTGGTGCAGTGCCCTGAATCTCGGCCACGGACTGCACGGATAGCTCAGCTGCCAGGGCTTCTTCCACCGCTAGGGAAAGACGTAGATCTTTCCGGGCTAGTAGGCGTCGTTGGAGTGTCTGATCTCTTACCCCGCAAACGAGTTGGTCAAGAAGCATGTCGTCTAAGTAGTTCTTGAACTCGCATTGAAGCGCGGCTGTCCTCAGGGCTGCCATGTACTGGTTGATGGACTCTCCTTCAGCCTGCTTCATCATCCGGAATGCGAAACGCCTAGCGATCTGGGAAGGTTTGGGAGAATAATGGTTAGAGAGTGTTTCTTGTATTTCGGTCCACGGGACGTTTTTTATCTCACGTGGTGCGAAGAGTGCGGTGGCGGTGTCGAAAACCTCAGCGCCGCAGTAGCTTAGGAAGTACGACTTCTTTCTGTGTTCCGTGGCATTCGCCAGGCCAATGGCGTCCAGGAAATGGTTGAAGCAGTTCTTGTAGGAGTCCCATTTCTCCTCACTGGGCTTAAATGGTGGGAATGCCTGATTGGCATTCATTTCGGGACTCTCAGTGGGGTAGGCTGTCTCTCTGGGTGGTCGTGGCCCTTAGATTTGCGCAGCTCCGAGTGTCTCTCTGGGTGGTCGTGACCCTTGGGTTTGCGCAGCTTCGAGCACTGGCGGCTGTGGCTGCAACGCCTGAGGCTCACCCTGTGAGCTACAACCTCGTGAAGGCCGTTTAAAACTCACGCCCTCCGAGTGCAATGGTGGTGGTGGCTAACAACGCCGGAAGTAGCTTCTATGACTTCAGCTCAGTATTTCGCTAGCTAGATTTGAATTCAAACGGCAGCGGTTTGAATTACGCGCTCTTTTTGCGAGCGGGGCGGCTGAGGCTGTCAGCGCTGTGACTTTCAGCTCCGAATGCAGCGGTTTTGAATCACGCACTCCTTTGCGAGCGGGGCGACTGAGGCTGTCAGCGCCGTGACTTTCAGCTCCGAAACGCAGTGGTTTGAGCTCGAGCTCTCTGTGAGCGAGGCAACTACGATCTGTATGCCGTGGCTTCAGCTCTTTCGCCTTCGGTGCTTCTGGTTGGCCGGTAGTATCCCACCCTCGTCGCCAGTGTTGTAGAGCGAAGGGACAAACGAGGCCAAGACCAGAGCATACAAGTAAAGGCTTTATTCTGGGGAATAAAGGGTTGTTGAGCCTGCCCGCTAACAAGGCAGACTGCTGGAGAACAACAACGGCTGGCTCCGTCCGGCAGCCGGCTTTTATAGCCGATTGCCAAATGGAGCCAACCAATGGGAGCTGCTGATGCTCCCGCTTAAAGTGCGGACCTGGTTGGGAACTCCAACCAGTTCCAAAGACATAACATCTCCTTTTCAAATACAAGTATTAATTCATATATTAGATGTATTGCTAGGACCATTGTATGTCCTTTATAAAAATGGGACTAAAATACAGAGAAACAAGAGAACAACCAAGAAAGAAATTGGACCTTGAGGTCTGTCTTGGAATAGTGGGTAGCCTTCTGAGTATAGCCTACCATAGAGATACAAGGACAGATTATTTTTTCTGAAATGGTTTTCTGCACAGCTTCAAGTCTGATCTGGCTCATTTTCAAATCCAGACTTTCTTTTGTTATATTCTCCCACCATACCAAATGTTGTCCCATTCTGTTCAGTTTTCAGAGAGTTATATTCTGATGGAGCAACAGAGAAATGGACAGAGAATTTAATCCCTTAAATTATAGGAAGGTATTAAAACGAAGCTTGGGGAGTAGATATAGCCCACAGGTAACTCATTTCTAGGTTACTAGATAGCATGATTTAACTAAAATATGGAACGTGTCTGGATATGGTGCCCAGGATTTCACATTTTTCTTCTCACATTCTAGATCAGGGATGTCTAACTTCAGTAACTTTAAGACTTGTGGACTTCAACTCCCAGAATTCCCCAAACAGCATGGCTGTTGAAATCCATAAGCCTTAAAGCTGCCAAGGTTGGACATCCCTGTTCTGGATGCTACAATGGATATCAGACTTGTGATTGTGGAAGAAGACTTTTAAAACAATTTGCTTCCTCCTCTTTTCCCAATTCCAACCCTCCATTCCAATATTATGATTTTATCTTAGGGCAAAACTAAGATGAACATAACTTAAATTGTGAGGTTGAGAAACACTGGAGTAGATGATGGCTTTTGGAAATGCTTGATGACTTTAAAAAAAAAAATCAAACAAAACCTGTATTTCTACTGTTTATTTTGTAAGCCACCCAGAGCTATAACAGATTGGGGTTGCCTATAAAAACTTCATAAATAAGTAAATTGTCCATTTCACTACAGAATGGATTTGTTTGCATGATGCACTGAAACACAGAATTGCCCATCACATTTTAACATATTATGTTGTGCAACTTCAGCTTGTCTGGCTATTTATGTTTCAATGTATTGTGTGAATGAGAACATTTGGTTAATTGAATAAGCCACAGTTCAGTAAATATGAGGCTGTGTCAAAAGCATACATATGACACTGGCATATGTGTTTTTATGGCACAATTTGTAGTCTGCTCCCAGCTGCCCTTTAATTTATTCCTTAACTGACCTGATGAAGAACTGGTCATGCATCCTGTACAAAATAACACATGGCATCTCCTGGTTTAGTTTCTCCTACCACTGCTATCCGCATAAATGCTGAGTTTACTGATTGTGTTACCTAACATGGATAAACTGGATGTTGATGTTTTATTTCTGTTTTGTTTAGTAAACCAACAAGTCATCCCAAAGGTGCTTTTTCAAGAGGCAACCGGACTTTCAGAGCTGAAGAAGCTTCTTGCATGAGAAGCGAAACATCTTCAAAGAAAAACACGTTGCCTCTTGAAAAAGCACCTTTGGGACAACCATGGCCTGAATGACTGAGAATCTCCATAGACATTAAGACAACAAGTCAGACTAACTACAGTAAAGATAGATGAACTAATTGTCATTTATTTATTTGTTTTATTCCTAATCAGTTTTATACATATTATAAAACATATTATACAACAAGGACAAATAGGCTGAAAAACAGCTTCTATCCCAGAACAGTAACTCTATTGAATTCTACTGTATATTGCAATATTAATGCAATATCAGGGATTTTCAATTCAATGTACAAAATGTGAAGGATGTGTGTTTGTGTTTATTTTCATAGTCATAATATACACTGAAGATGATATTTAATTTCATTGCACAAGGTGCAATGACAAAAAACTAACCTAAACTAAATAAGAGACATATTCACAAGGGACAATAGAGATCTAATATTTATACAAGTTACTTGAGAGCACTTTCTGCCATATTAAAGTTGACTGAAATGCTTAATATAGTAACATACAGAACTGCAAATCTTCTGTCTATCTTGTTCAACACTGTCCAAAACAGAAACAGATCTCCAGGGTTTCAAACAGAGAATATTTGCAGCACTACTTAGATATTGGGAAATGAATATGGAAATCTGTTATGTGCAAATGTAGTGAATGAATTAGCTATAGCCCTTGCTGTATCTTATGAGGAGGGGTAGACAGTTATTCTGAAGTAAGCGTCAAAAGATTTAATACCTCCTGCCTGCTCCCACCTCCAAAATCCAACATCCAGCCTGATAACATGGCAATAGGAATTAATATGGGTAACTTGAATCTGTGATATGGAATGATTTGAAGATAGAGAATGAACATGATTTAGGCATTGGGCGAAGGGATCCCAGAATTAATGGGATTTGAAAATATGGGGGAGCAGG